TCTCATTGTGAGGGACCCACCCCCATCTAAACCTACTCGCCCCCAAGGCCCCATCTCCAAACGCCATCACGTTGGAGGTTGGGGCTTCAGCGTCTGAGTCTGGGAGGGACACAGCCTTCTGTCCGCACAGCAGGGGCCCCTCCACGCCCGGCGGCCGGGGGGACAGTCGCAGGGCCGGTCACTGGCGAGGATCGAGCCGCCCCCGCGCTGCGCTCCGCCCCGGCCATTTCCTCCTCGCGGCCCTTCAGGGGCTGCAGCTGCCACGCGACGTGGCCGGGATGTAGGGGGCTGGATGGACGGCCGGCCTGCTCAGCGATTAGGTGCAGAAACAGAGTCTGGAAGGGGACTGGCTCTCCCAGGCTCATGCCCTCCACCGGGGTGGGATGCCGACCAAGACGAGACGGCCGGGGTCGGCTGGCTCCCCGGCTCAATGAGAAAACCAGGTCATAGGAAAAACACAATTCTCATCGGCGCATCAGACTGGAAACAAATGATTCCAAAAAGGTGTCTTCAAATAGGAAATATACTGGCCAGACAGGGAGGCGGGCGAGCCGAGCCGTCACGCTCACGCCGGAGTCAGGCGCTGCGGGAATGGCCAAACCCCGCGTGGAGTGGAGAGCTCCACGCGTGACCCGGGGCGCTGGCCAGCCGTCCTCAGCCTCCAAACGCTTTCCTCGCCTCCCGCTTCCCTTCAGGATTGGTCGTCCAACCCGATGTTTGAAAGGAAGGACAACAAGAAAGACGCCCTCTTGGACTTGGACGGGAGGCTGGTGACTCTCAACAAGCGCTACACCGTGGTCAAGGACGCCGGCGTGAAGATCCAGGCCATGGTCGCGGTAAGGACCCGCCCAGGGGCTCCTGGCACAGGAGAGATGCGCCTGGTTCAAGGTTAAAAAGAGGTTGACAGCACAGGACGCAGCAGGAGGGCTGGCAGGAGGGCTGGGGCGGGGGACCGGAGCCTGGGTGATGCGTGCGCCAGCAAGCCACCCGGACGAGGCTCTGCCGTCACGTGCATTTGCCAGAGTCCTCTACGCCCAGGATAGTCATTTGAACCATTTCTTGCTATCTTACCCTGAAGTTATTTGAGCCTGTGTTTTCTCTCCCTTATTAGAATGTAATGGCCTGAGGGGACAGATAGGGTCCTATTCAACTTTTTGTTTTCCTATAGCACTCAGCGTCTTACAGATTCACTCACCCATCCATCCATCCATCCATCCATCCATCCATCCATCCATCCATCCATCCATCCCTCCGTCCCTCCATCCCTCCATCCCTCCACTCACCCCCCCACTGCCCCACACACACCCACCAGCTCTCGCTCTGTCCTGGGCACACTGCTGAGTGCTTGAGGTACAGTGGTGAGAAGGACAGTCGATCGTTGGCTGTCCCCTTGGCACTAAGGGGAGGTGCAGACCAAAGACAAAATAATTCAGGGTTGTCACCTGTGTCATAACACACAACACATTGCTAGAGGGAATTCAGGCCGGGGGCGGGGCAGAGGGAGGAACCGAAGCTGAGATGAATGGGGGGTGGCCCAGGAGGGCCTGTGTCGGGCGGTGACATCTGAGCTGAAACCGGAAGGACTAGGAGAAGCCAGAGCTGGCAAGAATGGCAGGGAGGGGGCAGCCTGCACGGAGACCGACGCGGGGAAGAGTCTGGCGCATTCAAGAAGTAAAAAGCAGACCGTATGCGGCCAGGTCAAGGGCGGCCCGGAGAGTCATGGCGTGAACTGATTAAAGAGGGGACGAACGAACCAGCGAAGTGACAGTCAGCCGTGTGGTTCCGTTTGCAGGAAAACGCAGAGCTGTTCAGAGCGGATACGACGAGCCACTCCTGGAAAGATTACGTCAACTACATCGACAACATGGTGCTAGACGAATTTGACTATTTCATTCAAAACTCTCTGAGTTACCTCATGAACAACATGGTTATGGACGTAAGTTATAAGATGCGTCTCGTATGTATATACGTATATGTATTATAAATGTGATATCGTAAATATGAGATAAGGTTTATGTCAGAATCTATAGTTTGCAGTTTTCTGGCGAAAGACTGGGCTATCACGTTACAAATACACACAATTCTTAAAATCTGTCAGGGTGACCAACTCAGCCTAGTTTTAAAAATTGATCCTCAGGACATCTGGTCACCTTAAATCTGCCACACCAAAAATGGGCCATCGAAGACCTAAACCGATCTGCGCGAGCCGGCCTACCATGCTGCCAGGGGAGGGGGCGTGGGTCCACTGCCCCCCACTCATGGTGAGCGGGAGCGTGGGGGCATGCAACGTCGGCCGCTAACCTACTTGACCCTCTGCTGGGCCACGCGGCTGCGAAAACCAGGTCAGCAGAGGGGACGCACTAGTTCATTTCGTTCTGCCATTTTCATGGGAGGAGCCTTCCCTGCCCTTGTCTTTTTCATTGCAAAGGTCCCTGAAATATTTGGAAACTGCCAGTAGGACAAGGTCAAAGACCCCGGCCTACCTGGCCCACCCACGGAAAAGGACGAGCCGTGAGACGCCCTTGTGTGAGCCACGGGGGGAGGATGATACGTGTTTGAGCCCAGTACCTATGCCTCAAAGGCCACTCGTCACCAGACAATCAGCCCCAAAAGTGTGTTGATAAAAGTCACCACCACCACCAACCACAAGGCTGGCCAAGCAACCCACGGCGGTGCAAACTGCCAGCAATGAAGTTAGCTGATTCTAAGTCGTAATTCGTAGTTACAAAGCACACTCGGAACCACGATGACGCCCTGATAACAAAGTGTCCTCCTCGGAACATCCCGGGGTGTCCTCATATTTGCAAGTGGCCTCATGACCCCGAGAGAGAGGCTTTAGAGAAGTCTGGTCGTCTGAGTTCACAACGGTTGAGCTTTCGTTCTACTTAGCGGCTCACTTGGACACTAGCGAACCCCCTCCCTGGGCCATAGATAGAACCGGTAGACTCTGGGGTCAGCCACCCCAAGGCCCCCGTGGGACCGTCTGGGGGAAGATTGGTGGCCGCAGAGCAGATCCGGTGGCCTCGGCCCATGCTGTGAGAGTCACTGGTGTATTGGGCTGACCTCCCTCATAATGAGGCCGGCACCCTCAACCTTGCAGGCTCACGAGGGGGATCCAGGCCGTACAGGGTCACTGTGCACACGTGCTCTTTAAACGGGAGCCTCCGATGGACACGAGGGCTCATCCTTTCTGGGCATAGCAGAGGCCACACTGCATGGCTGTGACCCTGCCACACACAGTGGCCGTGGCTGCCAGCACTTAGAAGTGAGCCAGCCACCGCTCCACCCTCTTTATGTGCCATTGACTCATTTAGTGCTCACGAGGACCTAAAAGACAGTTATCGTCTCTGTTCTATAAAGTGACTTTTCTCTTGGGGAAACTGGGAGGTCAGTGTCTTGCTCAGGGCCACACGGCCAGTAAGTGGCAGACACGGGCTTCACGCCCCGGAGTTGGCCTGTGGGGTCCACTTCCGGCCGCCCGTCCTGGGCCGCGGTGGCACGTTCGGTTTCATGTCACCTGCCGCAGGGGCCCCCGGGAAGCGTGCTCCCCAGAGCCGTCCCGGCCGGGCCAGCGGGAGGCGGGAAGCCCTGCCCGGGGCGAGGCGCTGACTCCCCTGATGGCCCTTGCAGGAGAGCGTGGCGCCGCTGTTCGAGATCCGCATGGAGCTGGACGAGGCCGGGCTGGTCTTCAACCCGTCCCTGGAGGTGGGCTCCGACCGCAGCTTCCTGGCGCTGGTCGACGGCCTGATCAACGACATCTACAATGCGGCCAAGCTCATCCCCCGGCTGGCCAAGGGCCGGCTGAACTACAAGGTCAGTCCCCACTCCGGCCGGCCCCTTCCGCTTCCCCGGTTCAGAATCACCCTCCTCACTCAGCAACGCCCGAGTAGAAGGAGCTAAGATTTATGTTTCGAGTGACGGCAGTTCTGAACGGGATCAGAGGCCCAGAGGTGCCCAGAGTCCACCCGGGTCCCCGGGACGCAGACCCGCATTTCCTCCCCGGGCCCGAGACCCTGTCCTTCCTCCCGAAGGGTGGGTCTCGTTCCCCGGACGCCCGCCCGCCCCCAGCAAGACCCCTGGAGCGTTCTCTCCCGCTCTCCGGGCACCCCACCACTCTGTAAACACGGGCCCTGTCCACGCTCAGGCGCCTGGGCACGCGGGCCGCCCACTGCTCCCGCATCCGGCTACTCTAAGTGCGTCAAACGCCTGCCCACTAAGTAAGAGGCGGGCGGGTCAGAGCCTGGGGCTGCAGCAGACGCAGGCAATCCCTCCCCCTGCCCCCCACGAAGGGAGCCCCGAGGAGGGGCGTTCGTCGGAGCATCGCTAGTATGACGGTAAAACAGATTTGGGCAGAGACCTAGAGGTGGGTCCAACCGGAGCCGTCCAGGAGACTCCGGCCCGTCCACGCAAGGGCGGGTGGCTGAGCTGCAGAAATGAGCCGGGATGGAGGGGTGCTCGTGACCTGCTAGCGAGGGTTCGCCAAGCCGTGGAGCAATGTTAAGAATATTTCATTCATTCCTTTAAACACACGAGAATCTGCCTTTCCGTGGGTTCGCTCCAAACCGTCAGGAGCGTGCGCTTCTGGGATACGGGGCAGGGCAAGGATGGAGGACGAGGGCTTTTTATTTTACACATTTCCGCATTGTCTGAGGTTTTCGATAACTGTTACTTGTTATTTATAATAACGGATTTACAGCAACATGGCGTGCACTGTAAGGGAGACATGCGTGCGCGTGTGTGAACGTGTGTGTGTAATGAGGTGAGGTCACAAGAGGAAGTACCTAGCGAGGCCGAGGACAGCTTCCCAGAGGAGCTGACTGGGAGCTGAGTCCCGAAGGCGAGGCGGGGTTTCCGGGCAGAGGAAACAGCTGGCGGATTTCTGAGACGCAGGAAGGCGATGCGTCTGGATTAAGCGCGCGCAGCGTGCTGTTCCGGAGTTCAGGACCGAGTTTGCCACTAGCGAGCAGCTCTGGCACAAACGTGGGACCCCGCTCAGGCCGACGAGGGCCAGGCCTGTCCTGTGCTGTGGGCTCCAGCAGGACACGTGTCCCACTCGGCCCCGGCAGCCATCCTGGGCCCCGGCGGCTTCAGCTGCTGATGGGGCTGCACGCGGGAGGGCACGGCAAAGCGGGGTCCGTGTGTGGGCTCCCCATGTGCGGGCCCCCCAGTCTCGTTTGCACCCACGAGGTTGTAATTTGCGGAGTCGACAGTGACACGCAGAAGCCAGTGCTGGTACACTTCTTGGAGAAGCGGCCGTGCACGGCCACAGGAAGCGGTGGGTTAGTCAGGGGGCAGCAGAGGGAGCGACGGGCGCCCGGGCCAGGGTCTCTGCTGGGGTTTCTGCGGGAAAGGCAGGGCAAGGTGGGGGACAGCGTGGGGACAGCCAGTTTGCATAATGCCTGGGCTCAGGGCCACAAGGCTTGTCTCCAGCTGTCTGGTACCCGGCTGGTGGCCCTCCGGGCCTTCGATCTCTTAGACCTGGCTAGCCCTGGGAGGGGCAGTTTTCCCTCAACAAGCAAGATTTTTTAAGATTTCAAAGCATCTTAAGATATAGAAAATACACACACACACCCCCCACCTTGAGATTCTCCAGTTACATGAGCCAAAAGTTAACAGTCTTTTCCGTGCACCAGTTCGGCTGGGGTTTTGTCACTTGAAGCTGGAAAGACCCAGCTGTAGGGCCTCCCGCGCTCCCTGCTGTAGGTGTGGCCGGCCGCTTTCCGCTCCTCGTCCGAGTCCGAGGGCCTTTGCTTGTGCTTTGAGGCGTCTCCTGCTCTTTGCCACCTGCCCACCAGCTCTCAGGGAGCACTTCCCAGCCTGCTCCCCATTACGCCTTAAGGCAAGGGCCAGAGTCCTGACGTCTCGTTTCTGTGACTCTACGGAACGCGTGACCCCACCCTGGCCCGCACCCTCTGTGTGAGCCCTGTCCCCATCCCCAGTGCTACACCCTGGCCTGGCACACGAAACGGTGAGTGAACCTGTGGCCCAAGTCGTCCTGGGTCCCAGACAAAAGTCCCCTTCAGCATGTCTTCTCAAAGGACAGTGTGGCCAACCCGCGAACGTCCCTGCTCCCCAACTCGAGAGGTCAGAGACGCCTCCACCCCCGAAAGCCGCCCTCTGGGGCGAGACGCCCACCTGTTGCTTCTGCCCCGCCCCCTCCAGTCGGACCTGGAGGACCTGACGGACCTCATAGAGATGCGGGAGGAGATGTCCAGCCTGGTGGTCAGCGCCATGAAGGAGGCAGAGGAGTACCAGGACTCGTTCGAGAGGTACTCCTACCTGTGGACGGACGACCTCCAGGAGTCCATGAGGACCTTCCTGACCTACGGGCGCGCCCTCACGCCGGAGGACCTGGAGATGCACGCGGAGGAGGCCATCCCCAAGGCGCCGCCCACCCTGGCACAGTTCCAGCAGCAGGTGCGGCCCCGCCCGGCTCCGGACCCCGGGCTGCAGTGGGGATGCGCCAGGACCCTGCTGAGTGTTTCACCGCATAGGTGTCACGCTTATCCTGCCCTGGCGCAGTGGGGGGGAGGGGGCGGGCACATCTCGGGGAATGAGTTTGTGACTCCCAGTTCCCCGAGAGCCTGAGAGGAGGGGACCACATGGGGGGCAAGGAGGCCTGGGGG